TTTTAGGAGCTCATAAGTATTTATTTTGGGCATTTGGAATTAATGCATAATTATTTGCGTTGGATATATATTTGTTATATATATAATATATGTCCAATAATTATGCTAGTGGCTGAGGAGCTCTGGAATTATATAACTAGCTCCTATAAAAATTGGCATAAGTAAATAAAATGATTTGGTAATATTACTAAATCAAAACAAATGTCAGAAAAATAGAATAGAAACAGAAATAAAAGGGAAAAACCTTACCTGGACCTACCTGCGGCCCAGCTCCTGTGCTGGCCCGGCACCTCGCAGCCCAGCAGCTGGCCCAGCCCACCTGGCCCCCCCTCCTCTGTCGTCTTCCTCCCCCTCGCCCAAGCAGCTGCGTGCCCGCGCCACAGCCGGCTGCGGCCACGCGCCCGGCCACCTCCTCCCTTCCTGCCTGCCTGGCGTCCTCCTCGTCGCCCTGGATGCCCCGGACATCGCCACGCGCCGCCCCGGTCCTCCCCCACTCTCTCTCGCTCTCCCTCCTCCCCTGGACCTCTCCCTCTCCCTGCGCCCGAAGCGCTGCCGCTGCCGCAGCTCACCGCCGACGCGCTCCCCGCCGTCCCCTCGCCCCTCCGTGGAGTCCACGAGCTCCGCCACGACTCCCTCGTCCTCTCCGTCAAGCCACAAGACGTCGGACGCCCCGTGGAGCCGTCGCCGTCACCGTCTTCGTCTCCGGTCGCCGGAGATTGTCCTCGCCGCCATGCCGCCGTCTGGCCTCCCCCGAGCCCGCTGAAGGCGCCACCGGAACCGCAGTGAGCTTCTGCCCCGTTCCCCTCTCTCCGTTTAGCCGCCCGCACGCCGTAGCCCCTTTCCCCCACCACGGCTGAAGCCTCCCGCCGCCGTTCATGTCGCCGCCATCGCCCTGGCCACCGCAACCCGCAACCGAGCTCGTCACCGTGCTCCTGGTGCCACGAGGGTGCCGCAGAGCCCCTCGAGTGGCCTCCCCGTGCCCCACAGCCGCTCCCGCTCGGAGCCCGTGCTCCGACCGCCACTCCGAGCTCCGCTCCGGCGAGCTCCGGCACCCCCACGGTCTCCCGCGTGTCCTACTGGATGCACGCGAGCACCAGCTCCTCAGAGATGGTCTCCGCGGCCCTTTTGGTCGCCGGAGACGCGGTCCCGAGCCCCTCCGCCGCATTCGGCCTCGCCAGCGGCTTAATGCCGGTGGGGTTGACCGCTTGACCGCGCCGGCCTGTCAGGTGGGTCCGGCTCGTCAGGTGATTAGCTTAAGCTAATCACCACCTAATCTAACTCCCTGACACTGACAGTGGGCCCCAGCGCCACTAATCTTTTAATTGGGATTAAACTAACCCCTGTTTAACCCCCTGTCACTGACGTGTGGACCCCACACGTCAGGTTTGACCCGGTCAGCACCATTGACTTGCTGACGCAGGCATGACGCAGTGCTGACGCAATTATTTATTTTCTGGAATTATTTTAATTCAGGAAATTCCAGAAAATTAGCAAAACTTCAAAAAATCATAGAAATTCAACCGTAGCTCAGATTGAAATAATTTATATATGAAAATTATCAGAAAAATGCAATCTTTCCATCTGTACCAGTTTCATGCATGACAAACCAACCTAAACTTGCTGTATAGGTGAAAACATGTAAATTGCTTTTATAAGAGCTTAATTTGGAGTTGCATTTGAACCCTTGATTCAAATGGACTTCATTCAAATTTTAATACTAGTTGCATTAGCTCAAACAGCATCACATCTACATGCCATGTTCATGCATCATATTGTTGCATATGTTTGTGTATTGATTGCCGACACCGTTCCTTCTCGATAGGTCCTGCTCCGGAGACCGTTCCAGAGTACCTGTCTGAGGAGCAGTGCCTTCCTTGTTGATATACCAGGCAAGCAAACCCCCTTGTTCATTCCGATACAATCCTACTCTCTCACTCCTGCTCTCAGTTATTGCATTAGGACAACAACGATTCATCTGCTACTTTGTGCTGCGGTAGTTGAACCCATTCCTCTGCATGACCTGTCATTGCCACAGTAAATAGTTGAAACCCACTAGCATGTGTAGGAGTTGATTGAAGCCATTGTTGTGTTCCTACCATGCTATGCCTGCTATTGCTTAGAGTTGTGTCAGGTCTGATTCATTGGGAATGAATTGGAGTGTTATGATATGTTCTGGTGCTGAGAGTTAAGTGTGTGAACATGATTTGGTGAAGGTAGCGGTGAGAGGACATGTAGGAGTACATGGTGGGTTGTCTCACTGAAACCGTCCTTAAGCACTGAGTTCTATGTATGTTATCCAATGACTCGATACTACCACACATTGGGTTCTGGTAACTCGGCCCCTCTCGACTTATTAACCAACTTGGTCTCTGTCCAGGAGTCGCAACTAGTTTCTGGTGTTTGTAGGTAGTGTTAGTAGTCTACCAAGTGGCACCCGGCCAGGTGGGCTTGGGACAGACTAGGCACAAGTGGCACGGTGTACCAAGCGTAGATCCATCCGGCGAGGTCGGCTTGGGAACCCTGCACACATCATTTGGGGCCGTGAGTAAAACCCCGGCCGGATCTCCTTGCGGATGGAACCCGAATAGGCGATAAACCTGGGCTAGAGTCTTGTGTGGTTAGTCAGGTCGTGGCCGTCACCCTCGCCAGGCTTCCGCTTAAAGGTTGCCGAGATACATGACGTGTACATGGCGGTAAGTGGCGAGAGCGTGTGTGAAGAAGTACACCCCTGCAGGGTTAACATGATCTATTCGAATAGCCGGGTCCGCGGTTATGGACTTCTTGGATGCTTACATGGTACATAGACAACTTGAAGTGGAGACTCTAAAATGCTCAAGACAAGCGTGAGTGCTATGAATGGCCTTCTCGTAGGGAGACGGGAATGAATTCATAGTAGTGTATTGTGTGGTGATTAGTGGACTCGTGTACATTGTCCCACCTCAAGAAGTTCTGGTAGTCGTAGAACAGGATAGCCACAGAGTCAAAGCTGGCTTGCTGCAACTAAACCCCATATTACCCTCTTGATACAAATGCATGTATGATAGGATCTGATGTAAGTCTTGCTGAGTACCTTTGTACTCATGTTGCTTTATTTATGTTTTTGCAGCGGAGACTTCGGTCTTACTAGTGTTCTCGTGGACGTCGACAAGTAGCTTGTACCTCAGCTACGATCTTGATCGGATGTTGTAGTTAGTCAGGCTCTTCAGCCTTTTTCATTTGTAGATGTCTGTACTCAGACATGTAATGCTTCCGCCTGTTGCTTGTTTGCTCTGAATGTTGGGTCATGTGACCCCTATTTGTAATAATGCTATGATGGCTCTTTGAGCCTTATCTATATGAGTTGTTGAGTTATGCTGTGATGCCATGTTGTACAGCACATACTTGCATGTTATGCGTACGTGTAATGTGTATTGCTATGTGTGGGATCTGACTATCTAGTTGTTTATCCTTAGTAGCCTCTCTTACCGGGAAATGTCTCCTAGTGCTTCCACCGAGCCCTGGTAGCTTGCTACTGCTCCGGAACACTTAGGTTGGCCGGCATGTGTCCTTCTTCGTTCCTGTGTCTGTCCCTTCGGGGAAATGTCACGCGGTGTCTACCGGAGTCCTGTTAGCCTGCTACAGCCCGGTTTATCGGAGTCCTGCTAGCCCAGTTGCTACAGCCCGGATTCACTCGCTGATGACCGACACGTTCGATGCTAGGTCATGTATGCCTGTCCCTGTAAGTTAGTGCCACTTTGGGTTCACGACTAGCCATGTCAGCCCGGGTTCTTTGTCATATGGATGCTAGCGACATTATCATATATGTGTGCCAAAAGGCGCAAACGGTCCCGGGCATGGTAAGGCGACACCCGTGGGAATACTATGCGTGATGCCGCAAAGTGATATGAAGTGTTACATGCTAGATTGGTGTGGCATAGAATCGGGATCCTGACAGCTTTGGTATCAGAGCCTGACTGCCTGTAGGATTACCAAGCCAAACTGGTTGAAGTTGAGTCTAGAAATTCTTTAGTTATGTAAGGGAATTGATTGTGGGAAGGAACGTAAGGCTCTTTTTACTCCTTTTACCTCATGGCCTTCTGATCTGAGTCATCCTACCTTTCCTACGGGGTTAAGGAACTAGGCTTCTCTTCCGTCTATCAGGATCACGTGTTACTACTCCGTAGTCCCATAGGATTGGTTGATCAGAGTCATACCCAGTTTCCGAGTACTTCCGGTGTAGCCTGTTAGTTCTATTTCAGAACCTTGAGTGGTGATGTTGAGTTATTATTCTACCCCATTTTTGGCAGGATGTCTCATTCTGAGCATTTTACTGCCGTTATGCTGCCGGAATCTCCCTAAGAGTTCGAGAGATACTAATTTCCTTGTCCTACATTCTGTAGCCTATAGTTGATGCTGATTCCGTCCTTGGTTTCGTTTCTCAGGATGTCATCAGCTAAGCGAAGTTCTGTTGCTCGTAGCCAGAACCACGGAGATGATAGGGATGAGGATCCTCCCGACCCGCCTTCGTTGACAGAGTTCATGTTAGAAATGTAGAGGAACAAGCGTGAGTCTAACCGCTTGTTGGCACGTATCGAGGAGAACACCGCACATCAGTTCAAAGGGTCTGTAACCATTCATGACTTCATTCGCTTGCACCCACCTACCTTTCATCATTCCATCGAGCCACTCGATGCAGATGACTGGCTCCGTAGCATCACTCATAAGCTGCGTTCCGCGAACGTAGCTGAAGATGACAAGGTCACCTATGCCACATACCACCTGGAAGGTCCTGCTAGTCTTTAGTGGCAGAACTATGAGGCTATGCTTCCAGCTGGTCAGATTCCTACTTGGAGGGATTTCATTGAGACTTTTCGCGAGCATCACATTCCTGAAGCCCTCATCGATCGCAAGACAAAAGAGTTCTGTAGTTTCACCCAGGGTAAGATGGCTGTAGCTTATCCCCAAGCCACACGCTCAGGAAAAGAAATCTAGCACGATCAAGCAGCACCAGAGGAGGCAGGATGTTCCGAGCACTGAAGCATGTCGTCGTCGTGGCGAGGGCGAAGGCGAAGAAGCGCCGAGCAGTGCCAGCCTTGTCGTCCTTCGCGAGCCACTTCTCCGCGGCCTCCACCGCGCAGAGGTTCGCGTGCCCTCCCGTCACACTCGATTCGATCTTGCCTTGTGCTTGCTTTCTCGAGCTCATGAATCACAGAGGACCGATCCGAAGTTTCTAGGTTGGCCGGGAAGGTGGCCGTGATCACCGGCGGCGCCAGCGGCATCGGCAAGGCGACGGCCATGGAGTTCGTCAGGAACGGTGCCAAGGTCGTCGTCGCCGACGTCCAGGACGACCTGGGCCGCGCCGTGGCGGCCGAACTCGGCGCCGACTCGGCGTGCTACACGCGGTGCGACGTGGCCGACGAGGCGCAGGTCGCCGCGGCCGTGGACCTGGCCGTCGCGCAGCACGGCCACCTCGACGTCATGTTCAACAACGCCGGCATCAGCGGCGCCCTCACGCCCGTCCCTCTCGGCTTCCTCGACCTCGCCGACTTCGACCGCGTCATGGCGGTCAACGCGCGGGCCATGCTCGCCGGCGTGAAGCACGCGGCCCGCGTCATGACACCGCGTCGCAGAGGCAGCATCATCTGCACGGCCAGCACCGCGGGGGTGCTGGGCAGCGTGGCGCCGCACCCGTACAGCGTGTCCAAGGCGGCGGTGCTGGGGCTCGTGCGCGCCGTGGCAGGGGAGATGGCGCGCTCCGGGGTGCGCGTGAACGCCATCTCGCCCAGCTACATCCCGACGCCGCTGGTGATGCGCACCCTGGAGGAGTGGTACCCGAAGGCGACCGTCGACGAGCGTCGGCGGATCGTGGAGCAGGACGTCAACGAGATGGAAGGGACGGTGCTGGAGGCCGAGGACGTGGCCAAGGCCGCGCTGTACCTGGCGTCGGACGAGGCCAAGTACGTGAACGGCCACAACCTCGTTGTCGACGGCGGGTACACGGTGGGGAAGGCGCCCAACATGCCGGCACCGGCGCAGTAAGAGTCGATCAGCGGACGGTACACGGTCTATTAATTCGGGAGTTCAAAAATGAAGTTACGGTGTGTTGCTGCACCTGAACAATCGAGCGTTTTTCTCTTCAGAAGTGAACTGGGAGAACAATTCTTCCTCAAGAAATGAACTCCCATCTTCCACCAGGGTCCCTCACACAGACGTATATGTCTGAACTCTGAATTATAGTCGTAGATGTTATTCTTCTTTCCGTGTTGCTTGTATCTGTAGGAGCTTGATATTTTTTTTCCTTTTGACGGGATGGTAGGAGCTTGATGGGTTCTACCACTCGATTAAGGAATATGGTTTGATTATCCGGCTTCAACAGCAAGATTCAGAATGGATGTTCAAGTTTCCGATGCTTAGCTTCTACAGCAGCAATGAGAACTGTCTCAATGCAACTGTATTTGCACATGGTACTGTGCTGCAATGCACGATTGTATATGTACGCTGCTGCTAGATCAATGAAATATCCGTTGTACAAAAAAGGAAGCAAGAGGGGGTTTCCAGACATAGAGCCAAGAGGAGTCAGGATGTAAGTCACAGTGGACACCACTTTTTCTTTTAGGGGTAAAAGCCAAGTTTATTTATCAAAAGTCACAAGGTGTGGGATACAGTTTACGTCGTGAGGTTGGTCAAACCAGACGTGACGTGCCTGTCCTAAAAATAGCGAGAATTTGACTAGATTGTATGCCTCAAAGTTAACAGCACGGCTCTCAAAAACAAAATCACACTGGAACTGAACTGCTTTAAACTTTATCTCACTATGCCGTCCACTAACCTAAATGGTGTACGTGGACGTCCACTTAAACACATTGAAATTCTCGAAAAAAAAAAGTAAATGGAAACGTGGCCAACCAACCAAAGCCCACAAAACCCAGGGCCCGGCACAAACAAATCCCGTCTCGTTTCTAACGCCGCCGCCATGCCCTAGGCCTCGCAACTAGATTGTGTCCAGTGTCCCCCAACGAGGTCTGTTTGTCGGTGTCGAGCCCAGCAACGCTCGATTGGAGGTGACGAGGTCACCCGATGCACCGGCGCGATGGAGTTCATAAGCGGGCCGAAATCCGCAAGTGTTCATTGTTGACCAATCGTCTTGACAACCGATTGCAGAACTCTGACCGTCAGTTTGACCATTCACCGTTGACAAAAAAAATCATGAATTTCTTAACAATTCATATAAAGTAAAAAAAAATCACAAATTTGAATAAGTTCATCAATTTGACAAGTTCAGGAATATGAAAAAAATGCACGACATATGGGAAAAAGTTCATGAAATTGGAAAAAAAATCACCAAACCAATTTTTTTCCAAATTTGAAAAATATCCGTATTTTTCTTTACAAATTTTTGAAAAGTTTGTAACTTTGTATAACGTATGCGAAATTGAAAACCAAATCATGAATTTGACAAAAAGTTCATGGATTTGAAATTGTTTGTAATTTTCCAAAAAAAATATGCAAAATTGAAACAAAGCATGAAATATTTAAATTTCTACAAACGATGAATAGTAATAAAAAGGAAAACAAGAAAGAGGAAAAGCAAAAGAGAAATAAAACTAGTAAAACACAACAAAGCAAAAAAACCAGAGAAAATCAGCCTGGAAAACAGAAAAAAAAACTTCAAGCGCGGAAGGCAGCCGTCCGATTGGGCCAGCCCACCTGGGACACAGCCCTCAAGCGCTTTTTTTCTCTCTTTTCCCATTATTATTTTGTTTATTTTTTTTAGTTTTTATTATATTTCGAAATCCTCTGAGTATGTTCATTATAAAAATCACTTTTACAAAAGTTAAATAATATTAACCATGCATTTCAAAATTGTAAGTGTGTATGGAAATACAGGTATGCAGAAAATGTACAATCCGTACGGGATGAGGAAATACTATAAGTTTACAAATAATTTCGAAAAATGTTAATCATGCTCTAAAAATATATTAAGTGTGTAAGAAAATATGTTTCTGATGTATAAATTAAATGTATACAGAAATGTACAATGTGTATGAAAAAAAATGTGGAAATCAAAAATACTACTCCCTTCATCCCAAAAATCTTGTCTTAAATTTGTCTAGATACGGATGTACCTAATACTAAAATATGACTTGATACATCCGTATTTAGACAAATCTAAGACAAGGATTTTGGGACGGAGGGAGTATATGTTTCCAATTTCTTTGAATTTTTTAATCATGCATTAAAAATGTTAAATTTGTATAGAAAAAATGGTTCTGGTGTATACAAAAATGTACAATATGGAAGGAAAAACGTAGGCATCACAATATATAAGTTTTCAAAATATTAATCATGTATTTGGACAAAGCTAAACGTGTATACACAAATGCTCCTGATGTCTATAAAAAATGTAGAATGTATAAGGAAAAAGTAGAAAGAAAATATATGTCATAAAAAATGTTCTTCATTAGAAAATATCAAACGTTTGTATATAAAATCTTCCTGGTGTATACAAAAAATGTGAAATATTTATGGAGAAATAGACAATAAAAATATACGTGTTGAAAAATGTTGATCATGTATTTTTAAAATGTTAACCATATATAGAAAAAATATTTCTGGCCTATACAAAAAATATACAAAGAAAACAATACAAACCTATAAAAACCAGAAAGAACACACAAAAAACAAACAAAGGAAACCGAAAGAAAGAAAAAACAGTAAAAGTCAAGAAAAACATAGATAAAAAATAAATAAATAACTGGTCAAACTTTGAAAGAGACGAAAAAAAAGATGAAAAAGCAGAAAACAGAAAACCAATGAGGAAAACCAAAAAAAGAAATAGACGAAACCGTACGTAAAACGAGTGAGTGAATGACTGAACTAGCAAGCGAGCGACATCACTAATGGGCCGTCCTATACATGCGAGCCATTCAGGCGAGACATCGTTAAGAGAGATAGCATTCACGAGCTTGTAGAAGGTTCCCAAAATCGATGGGGAAGAGAGATAATGTGCCTACAGGCCATTTAACACTTAGCAAACGTATTGAGTGTGAGTGTTGTACCAATTGGCCTCTATTTAACGCTATAGGTGCCACATAGGATTTGGTATGTCCACCTTGCTTGCATTCCTCTCCACCTGGTCTGTCCCTGCCTCTTGGGTTGTGCTGATAGTTGGGATCTTCGGATGCTAATACAGTAGTTTGAACGTTCCACTCATAAAAAAAACTCAATAAAGAAATGAACAAAAACTCATAAAAAACATTCCACTCAAAAAAAAGTACCTTCGCCGTTGACTTGCACAAGGCTTTCGTTTACAGTAGTGTTTGTGCACGCAAACGTAATAATTCTAATGATGAAATATTCTGAGATTTGTATTTGGTAATAACTTGTTATTCCCTGTGGTCCTCCTTAGTCTAGAGCCTAAGGACCATAATGAGTTTTCCCTACTCGATGTCATGATCCATGCGCCCCCTGCCACCCCTCCACACCATCCCCTCAAAGACCCTGCAACCTACCGTCATGAGATAGGCCCCATTTTAGAGTTTGGCACATGATCTTTGATCTCGCCCGCTCGGCCTTGACTTTGTCCTATGGTTGATGCACAGTAACAATGGGCTAAGGAGGGGCAAAACTATGAGGTTTAGCCTGTTTTTACTAACATATAGCACAAAAACTAACATGTATTAAGTGATTT